GGCTTTTCCCAACAACGCTGCCTTAAGTTTGGACACCCTAACCCTTGAGCTTTACAGGTGAAGCATTGGCAGGCCTTACATGTGAGGACACTATGCTCTTCACTCAAACCATGGAAGGGACTCAGAAGCCAACGTAGCCTCAACAAATTTGGAAGAAACCCTCTCGACTACAGTTAGAGACTCCAAAAACACAGCCTTCTCCTTCGGTGGCAAAAGAGGAACTGAGGGTGGGAGTGCTGCTAGGCAGAAGCAAATGGTCCCTGGGCAGGAACAAGCTTCCAGCTCTGGAGCGCAGCGCCCCCTGGAGGCTTTTAGCTGTAAAGACCTATCTGATGGCAAGCCTGCACAGGTCCAGTCCCCCATGTGGGTCGGTTTTTGGTACATACCACATGCCTCCCTACTTCTATTCCCCTCTGGATCTGCACTGCGATTATTATTTGGGTTACTGCCTCGGACCCTGGCACTGTTTACATCTGATCTGCTCCGGACCACCCACGCCTGCCATTGTGTTACATGGCTCTTTGTATTTATTAGCTCTCCAGATTCTTGGGACCGCTGTACAGAACTCAAAACAGTGTCTGGAATGACAACAGATGGGTAGACCGCTTCTCCTGCTCATTCTACCCCTCTGGCCTCTCGCTTCCTCCTCCTTGAGTGATACACACTGTAGACTATATGTATGCATGCACCTATGTTTGGAATATCTGAATCTTAACATGGACATTCCCATATTTCATGCAGCTGTTGCATGCCTGATGTTATCCTGACTGCATGAGTATTACTTATTCCACTCAACAGAACAATCTCAGATTCCACCACATTCAAGATCTTGGTACCTTTACTAAACTTGCATTAGGAACCTCATCACTCTGTTGTAGGGTTGCCAGGTCTTACATGGCTGCTGGCAGGGGGGCCCTCTCCTTACCCAGGATTTTTTGGCACACACAAGAGTTTTCCCTGAAACGATAAAGTGTCCCCCATGCAAGGTGCCCTGTGCGATGATGTCACCGGCGGCTGATGTCATTGCGCCAGGCACGTTGGCGCAGATGGGGCTCTTTGTGGGTGGGGCTCACCTGCCAGCCAGCTGGATGGCAGAGGATTGGGCCTCCCGAAAGTGGGTAAACCCCCACCCCCATCAGGGGAATGGCAACCCTACTCTGTATCCTTTGGGTTTCCATTTGTGTTTGTCATCGATTAAATTGGGCAAAAGTCAGCCATAAAGGCTAAGCCAGCAGCTTCTAGGAGTGAGACATGGCAAAAAGGAAGATTTTCCTCATTACACTAAAGCTACCCTAAGTGTACTCTTGAGCCAAATTGGGACAGTGGAGCCCTAATCACAAATAATTAGGGGACATGTATCCCCTATCCTTTTACTAGGGAGATTTCCCGCTATTCCAATTGATCACATGACCAAGATCAGTCCCCTGGGAGAAAATGGCAGCTCTGGAGAGGGGACTCTATGGCATTATATCCGGCTGAGGTCTCTCCCCTCCCTCAACTGCCGCCCCCCACGGTTCCATCTCCAAAATCTCTAGGTATTTCCTAACCCAGAGCTGACAGCCCTACCTTTCACCCTTCTGTGTACTTTGTCACAGAGCTACAGTACCCCTGAGGAGAGGCAACCAGACCTACACAGTCATTTAGGTTTGGCTGCATCCTAGATTTATATAATAGCACTAATACTTGCTGCTTGAACATTTCCATTTTTAGACTGATGTGGCTTTATGCATTCTTTTTTTTTTAAGTGTCAGATCTACACATATATTTGCCCGTTCAAGAAATTGAACACAGCATGATGAATTACTGTTCGAACTCTGGCAAGGATGATAGCTGGCAATTACTGTGGGAAATGTGCATTTTTAAAAAAATGCTTTTACATCAGACTACTCTGAGATAGTTTTTAGCAGCACATATGGTTGGTTTCTCACTTACACATTATTTCACAGGTGCCCATGAGGGCCACAGAATGACAGCAGGCCACCTGCACACTTATGTCCAAGCCTTCTTCCTCATGATATTTTCGCCTCAATAGCTTCTTCTTTCAAACAGGCCTTTTAAATTCATGCCCCGCTACGTATCCGCACAAGCCCCCAACGTAGTATCCACTCCGTATCCATGCACACGAAAAATATCCTCAGGGCAGCCTGACTGTAAATTTGCACAGCTTATCCCTCATAACACCCTGCGCTGGATGGGCCAGGGTAGCCATGCTCATCCACGCACCCCAAAAATATCCTTCAGACCAGCCTAACCGTAAATTTGCACAGCTTATCTCTCATAATACCCTGCCCTGGATGGCCCAGGCTAGCCCGATCTTGTCACATCCCAGAAGCAAAGCCCAGTTGGCCCTGGTTAGCATTTGGACAGGTGATCGCCACGGAAGTCCAGGGTCGAGGCACAGAGGCAGGCAATGGCAAACCACCTCTGTTCGCCTCTTGCCTTGAAAACCCTACGGGGTCGCCATATGTTGGCTGCAACTTGATAGCACTTTCACCACCACCCCTCACAAAGCACACACAATCCACAAGGTGACAGCAGACAAGGAGATCTTCTAGATGTGCCCCCCCCCAATACATACACGCTATTCCTCTTAGGTCTCCAGCTTGTAAACCAATTTTTTGGATTCTGGCTTGCCCAATCAGATGGAAAAAGATAACATATGGGTTGACGTCTTTTTTGCTCAGTCTTTCCCACGTCCTCTTCTTACTGCAGCCTCCCGCCGCGCAAAGCTTTTGTCCATGCAGGTCTCATGATCCTCAGCATAGCATCTTTGGCAGGCAAAGGGAACCCCATCTTCCCTTTCCCT